AAAAAAAAAAAAAAAAAGAAAAAAAAAAGACAATTTTCCGGGGAACTTTCACAATTTTCGGCAACGTGGAAGGTTTTCGCAAAAAGGTCAGCACAACACGCTGATCAAAATTTTATTACATCTTGGGAACACGCAAGGTTTTCGCAAAAAGCACGCCACGCCACTGCGCTAATTTACCCTGAAAACCCTCCGGGGGGGGGATGACAGCGACAGCGTGTGGCTGCGAGCACTGCCTGCTGATGGGTTAGAATGACCAGCACAGCGCCTTCAATTTGTAATACGCAACACGGATGGCCGTGGAACACGAATAGTTGCATCAAGGCGTTATTACTGATATCATTGACCTCGGGTCGGATATCAACACTGAAGCGTTAAGTAAAAACGTCGTATGACCCCTCGAGCGTTGATAAATTTCCTTCGACTAAAAACAAATTTCCGGGAAAAGTAGGCTCTTTTCTTAAATTTTCTGCTTAATTCAATTGAATGGTTCGGAAAATTTCGAGGAAAAAGGTAAGTAAGTATATTCCTAACTTTCCTCAAAAATAATATTTTGTCAGACGAAATCTGGCAACGTCTGGATCCAGGGTTTCTAGTTTTTTTTCCATTTTGGGTATAATCCTGATTTTTCCTGAGTTTTGACTGCTAAATCCTGATTTCATAATTTTCCGAATCCTCATTTTTTTCAGAGAAAAGTTAAAATTTTTGCATCTCAAAGCAGAACTCAAGAATAAAGTTCTAAGGCCAATTCGACTTAAAAATAGCTCGATAAAAAAATCCAATCTGACGGCCGACTTTTCTCACATCCTGATTTTAGGTACATCTGATTTTTCCTCAAAACCTGATGAAATCGGGATTAAATCCTGATGGATCTCAAATCCTGATGCTCGACACCCTGGGATCTTTATACGGCGTTTTTTCGCTGCGGCAAACTTGCTTAGGTGGCAGCCAAGCCTGGCATGGGTGCTCTAGGACACCTTGTATAAACTGTGCAACAACTAATCAGGACTAGTTGCTAGATCGTAGTGTCAATGACAGTTGTCATAAGAAGCTAATTCTCTAGTCTGCTTTGGCACTCTGTTCTCGGGAACATACCCCGTTTAGACTATTTACCACCCCTGTGATGGTTCCAGCAGTGAAAAATGGATACCAAGGGAGTCCATGGGACCTCCATTGGAAAAATGATACATTCCTTCAAAGCAGGTTCAACCTAGTATTCATCAAATTTCACCAGAGAAATGGTTACTTGAAAAAAAAAGAACCACCTTTGCCCCCTTCTCAGTGCCTCCGTGAATTGCGACACCTGGGTAATTGCCTTGACGGTGAATTCAGACATGTTATAGAGTTGATAATATATGACGTTCATCGCTTTGAGTAAACGGATTGATCTCATTTGCAAATTTTTGACTGACAACAGGGTCAAGTTCCTTGTACAGGAGAAGGCACCTGTTGCTGGTTAATAGTTCGATGAATGTTTCTCACAAAAATCTTGGCTCACTGCAAAATTTTGAAATGGCCATATCGTCAGTGGTGATCGGGCTTCTAAGCCAGCGATTCTTCAGTTGAATCTTCACGGAAAATTACTATTTGACAGAAAAATGGGTCCAAAACTACTATCATCAAAATGGCAACATTGGTGATAAGATTAAAAAGATACAAGGTCAAGCTACAGGTACTTGGCAGTAATAGAACCCCAAATCTAGAGCATTGAATCGTTTGGTCTTTTAGTGAGTATGACAGTGTTTCAGATATGAAGCTACCTGCATAAACTGTTTGTGCTTGGAAACTTGTTGCTCATAAATGGTTAAAAAACAAAACACTGGCATTGGATACGAGCGGATGTTATGTCTGTTGGAGCGATATCCGGCTACCAATTGCAAAAACCCATTTACAAGAGCATCAGATGATTACTTAGACTAGAGATGAAAGATTGTTTCTTACTTGATATTATCCTGGGGATGAAATCATTTGCAAAATCTCTGGTTTAGTCAAAACTGAGCTTGTCAGGTCACAAATTTTCCACGGATTATAGCACTCAGCAGAGTCAGGAAATTCCCGACAAATCAATCACTATTCACTTTACTACAGGCACGGCAACACTCAAATATGAATATTGAACTAAAAATTACCCGAAATACACAAATAATAAAGGAAGACAATTTGAGAAATAACACAAATTTACGTAACAAAACCGCGAGTACGAAGCTTAATCGACCTCATCGCGCTGGCTGTGAGGACAGGGCGACGAATTGTTTATCTCACGTACTCGTACACGTGAGTATTTGCCAACGTGAAAAAACAAAAATATTCGTACGACGGCGGCGAGCAACCAATCCTCAACCATTCCGCCAAGACAGGGCTGCCACACCGCTGAGCTTCGTCGCCGCTCCGAAAGATAGCGCTTGCAATCCACTGAAAAGCCCGCGCAGTTTTGAACTTACGCTCTTTTTTTCCGCGAGCGCACATCACTGATGCGGCGGACGGCAAGAAATCTCGAGTCGTTGACTCGCTTAATCAGGACTCCCAAGTCATATTTTACGAATCCTGCACTTTTGATGTACGAATCATCTTTTATAGTTTTACTAATTTTCGGAAAATTAACGAAATATGAATACATAAACACCATTTATATTTCCTTTCATTCCATTTTTTGTTTCATCTTATATTTCCTGACTTTTTTCTTATTTGTGTTAATATATTGTTTATTATATACTTCACATTCGTTTTTCATGTTGTTATTTTTTCTATCAAATTATTTTGCTGATAATAATTTTACTTCGCTTTTTTTTCGAAAACACATGCCCCAAAAGGAAGGAAGTTGATTCACTGTTATCATTACTGAGTGGTATGTTTTTCGAATACTTCGGCGCAAAAAACTTGAACTTTTGAACCGGAGGCGGAGAGTTATGACGGTTCAAGGTTCGTAACTAGCCTCTTTTGTGCATTGTGATATTTTTGCTCTTGCTCTTGAATTTCTTATAAGTTGTATTGGGCGGCGGTATCACGCAATTTATTTCCATCGACGGGGGTAAATCGATATTTGTCGAGCACAGTGGCGTAGTCAAAAAGGGAGGGTTCAGGAGGTTTGGACCCCCTCTGCCCATGACTGGAAAATACCCTTTCCCGAACTATCATTTTCTATAGGATTTTTATGACATTTTTAATCATACCAGAGCTCGCCGTTTCCACAGGACCCCTAGAAGATTTTTTCCTTCTTTTAAATTCCAGACTCTCAAAGGGTTGTTGGATTTTTACAGGTAGATTTAGAGGGGTCCCAAGTCCGGAATTTTGGGGGCCGTGGAGTCATTAAATGTTAGGATTTAGGGCCCCTAATGACCGGCATCCGAACCTCTGAGTGTTAACCCGGCCCTGAACTTGAAATCCCCTCCCCTTCCATGAAGAATTGTTGACCTCGAGCCCCCTCCCCTCATTCTGAGAACACGCCACTGGTCGAAGAAGGGATCCCTGCTTTTAAAATATATATAGGAGCAATCAATGAATACTAAAAGTTTCTAACGGTTTCCAAAGGCTTCACTCAATTCAGCATAGGCCGTTCCCGACACTTCGGACGGAGGGGGGCAGTAGAGGGGTGACTCCGGGGGGCGGCTTATCCCGGAAAATTTTCGACATTTTAAAGGATCTGGCATGCAGTTTAAGTCAATTTCGTTAAGGAAGCGTCCCTCCTTCTTTCCTACGTCCCTCGTCCCTCCTTTTTTCCGACGTCCCTTCTGTCTAGGTGTGAATGGCTTTAGATGCTAAAGCACAGCTTTAAAACTTATCTTACTACTACTTTCTTTTCTTTTCTTTTCTTTTCTTTTCTTTTCTTTTCTTTTCTTTTCTTTTCTTTTCTTTTCTTTTCTTTCCTTTTCTTTTCTTTTCTTTTCTTTTCTTTCCTTTTCTTTTCTTTTCTTTTCTTTTCTTTTTTCTTTTCTTTCTTTCTTTCTTTAAAACTTGAGGCCCAACCGCCAAAGTTCGGGTCAGACACCTGAAGTACTTCGGTATGTACCGGAGTACTTTAGATGTGTGACCCAAAACCTTCGGTATGTACCTAAGTACTTCAAATGCCTGACCCGATCTTCGGCAGCCGGACCTCAAGTTTTCGGATGCGTGGTCTGAAAACTTTAGAGATCCATATGACCTAAACCTCGGGTCCCATTAGGGTGCGTCAAAAAAAATGAAAGTCTGAAATGTTCCGCTCCCCAGGCGGCAATCGATGACGTTTGGTAAAAAAACATGTTTGCCAAAATTTGGGCCAATTTCAATCATTTTAAATGGTGCCAAAGGTCAATTTTGTGATGAAATTATGATATTTTGGTTTAGACCTCGATTTCGCACAAAAAACTCGATTTTACGCTGAAATCGTGCGTTTACGAGAAAAATGCCAAAGAACTCGACTTGTAGAGGATGAAATTTTACACTAGGCAGACGTCTTTGTAACCGATAAAAATCAAATTGAACTAGAAAAACTCAACTCTGTATTTATTTTTTTGGTCCTCAGAATTTCCGAGGTCTTAGAAAGTAGAGGTGTAAAAGACTCATTTTTCACGAAAATAAGTCGAAAGAGGGTGTAAATGAACTGTAGGCAAGTGTTGAGGATGCAAATGTCATCAGAACTTCCTCAGTTTCAAAAAAAGTTCCAACTATTTTGCACAATCCTCCAAAAAGTGCACGGCTCGAGAAGCAGGATCGTGCTATAATAGTAAGGGGAAAGTGCGGTTTGACCGGGAAAAATTGCGTAACAAACTTTCCCTATGGAATCGTCATCAGTAGGTCCCCCTGAACAACTTCCTAAAAGTTAAAAATGGCCCGACCCCGGAATACCCCTCAAAAAAGTTAAAATTGAAAATGGCGGCCGTAATAAGAGGGTCCGGGAAATCGGTATTTTAAAATGCTCATTCTGTCTCATCATGTGAGGTATCATTTCCTATGTAATTTTGGTCGTAGATTTCATACATGAATTCCACAAGGCCCTCCGGCCAAAGGGGGCGCTCTAAATCAAAGGTGGCGGCCAAATGTGAAAGGCAGGAGGCTGCATTTTTTTAAATATTCACCGAAGGAACAAGGAAAGTGAACTGTCTTTATTTTCATGTATTTATGGTCAAGAAACTTAAATTTGATGTTATAAATGTATTTAATAAAGGAAAATAAAGGAAACATACGACTACCAAGAGAAACGTAAGCTTAGAAGGGGCCTTGCGGAATTCATGTATGAAATCTACGACCAAAATTACATAGGAAATGATACCTCACATGATGAGACAGAATGAGCATTTTAAAATACCGATTTCCCGGACCCTCTTATTACGGCCGCCATTTTCAATTTTAACTTTTTTGAGGGGTATTCCGGGGTCGGGCCATTTTTAACTTTTAGGAAGTTGTTCAGGGGGACCTACTGATGACGATTCCATAGGGAAAGTTTGTTACGCAATTTTTCCCGGTCAAACCGCACTTTCCCCTTACTATTATAGCACGATCCTGCTTCTCGAGCCGTGCACTTTTTGGAGGATTGTGCAAAATAGTTGGAACTTTTTTTGAAACTGAGGAAGTTCTGATGACATTTGCATCCTCAACACTTGCCTACAGTTCATTTACACCCTCTTTCGACTTATTTTCGTGAAAAATGAGTCTTTTACACCTCTACTTTCTAAGACCTCGGAAATTCTGAGGACCAAAAAAATAAATACAGAGTTGAGTTTTTCTAGTTCAATTTGATTTTTATCGGTTACAAAGACGTCTGCCTAGTGTAAAATTTCATCCTCTACAAGTCGAGTTCTTTGGCATTTTTCTCGTAAACGCACGATTTCAGCGTAAAATCGAGTTTTTTGTGCGAAATCGAGGTCTAAACCAAAATATCATAATTTCATCACAAAATTGACCTTTGGCACCATTTAAAATGGTTGAAATTGGCCCAAATTTTAGCAAACTTTTTTTTACCAAACGTCATCGATTGCCGCCTGGGGAGCGGAACATTTCAGACTTTCATTTTTTTTGACGCACCCTAGGGTCCCATGTATGTAGTTTTTTTCTCCCGTGTTCCTTCCTTCCTCCCTTTCCTTCTTTCTTCCCTTTTTCTTCCTCCTCATTTTCGAGCGAAGGGGGGTGCGCCCCCCCCCCCCCAATTCGCCTATGCAGTTTAGTCGACAAGATGGTTACGTCTCGGATCGCGGAGAGTGAGAGCGGGAGGTGGGAAATCATCCGGTTGTCGTGGTGGTTGTCGCGGGTGCGTCCTGGGTCTCGGCTGGGTCGTCGTTAAGGAAGAGAAGGCGTTGAGGTAATCGATGAGGCAACAACGTGGGGCGCGGTGCGACAACATCGAAGCACGTTGAGGCGACCGACGGATGATTTGCCTCACGTGCGTCCCGGCTCCCCCTTCCGCAGCCGAGAGCGCCAGGATCTGAAATGACGCCGTGCTCCTGTGCTCTTAGCTCCGTCCGGCAAACCGTTCATTTTTCATCGCACCCTGCGCAGTCACCGCGATGGGAACTTTCCAGGGAGAATAACAGGTCGATAGGCCGGCTATGGACACAAGCAAACGTTACATGGCGTTGTTGTATGGAAACAACCTCTGAGTGAGAAGTAGATCGTCGCTCCTCTGGCGTGAGGGCGTATCTTTTTCGTTAGTTAGTAGTTGAAGTTATACGGATCATGCGGTGCTCCCATTCCATAGGTACCTATCAAAAGTTCCGGGATTCGGAACTTTTTTGTTCCAATTTCTCTCGCCCCATGACCGTCAAAGGTTCCGCAATTCTTTTCAGATTTGTTCAAAAGTTCCGATAAACTTCCGGAAAATGCGAAAGATCCGGAAAATTTCGGAAATTTTAAAAGTTCCGGGAAAAATTTAGGAAAATCTCACAAGCTCCGAAATTCGGTTCGAGTTCTGGGAAATGGAAGCATTGGGATTATGAGGCTCACTTAGAAATTGAGAATCGCCCCTAGGTCAGAGGAACGACGAAATGTCCCGTTCCTTTTTTTGAGAGCAGTGGTGCAGTCGGGGGAGGGAGGTTCAGATGGATTGGACCACCCTTGGCTACAACATTTCCCCCAAAACGTCATTTTTTGTGATTTATAGGAATGTTTTATCTTTGGACTGCGATATAAGACATTTTTGACCGCTGACCGTTTAGAGCCCTTTCTCATGAATTTTTTTTTGCTATACCTATACCAGTGTTAATGAGAAAAGTGGAGAGGGGGCGGAGTGACAGTAACTAGACATAATATTTAAGGGGAATAGGGGGAGTTCAACACTGCTTAATGACCATCTGACAAAGTGAGAAGGGGGCGGAAAATCAGAGCCAATATGAAGAAACGTCATTTATGAACTGTCTCTCACAACAAGTGGCGTGGCGTCCATGTAAGCCAGGGAAGCACTGCTGCCGGGCAGTAGTGCTGCGTGCTGCCCATATCCTCTTTCAATACAGCTAATGTGTGGATAATTATTTTCTGAGGACTAATAATTAAAAGGCAGCGTAAAAGAAAGAGTTGAGTCAAATTTAAGAAAGGAAAATTCAAATTTTAGTTATTTCACCTAAACTTGTCTCCAAAAATACCATTTGAAAAAAATGAGCTCTGGAGCCCACTTTTTCCTCTCAATGTGTTAGGTTTACTGGTGCCATAAGGTGGACGGTGCCTAAAAGCGCAAGTTCCCAAAAAGAAGTATCTATGCTGAAAGAAATTAATTGTACGTAAAGTCTGTAAACATAGTTCCTTTTAGAAAAAATACATCCAATAAGGAAAATTTATGATCCAATAGCGCAAAGGGAGACACACCCCAATAGCGTAAATTCTTAAATAAAGAAAATTTGTAGAAGAAACTTTAACCTGATTTTTGTTAACACCTTAACTACGATTTTATGCGAGGAACTTTACGCCGGCTCAGAGAATTCTTATTTGAAAATTTTGCAATTAAACCTCAAAAGTATTATTCTACAAGTAAAGAAAAATATCTAAACAAGGGACGACTCGTTTATGTACTCAAAAGTAAGGAAGCGCTTCAGATCTTGCCCAGATGCCTTAATTTTTTGCGATTTCGAGGACCAGCAACGCTGAGATTTTAAACAGTCAGTGCATTTTTCGGAAAATTGACAATGTCGTGATAAAATCAGTAATAGTTTACTTCATTGGCACAACAGGAGACGTTATAATTAAGTTGAGGTGTGAGAGAAATTAGCAAATCGCCTCAGTTTGTATTGCATGTGACGAATACTAAATTTTCATCACAGCGCCTGGATGCAACTATTCGAGCTCCATGGATGTGCGTGTTGCATACGCACGGATGTGAAGGCGTTTTGGCTTTCCAGGCCTTTTACCGCTTCGCTCTCGTTGCGGCGCACGGTGGATCGAGTCAATCAGAGAGGTCGGACATGAAATTTTTTACTGAAACTGCAATTTTTAATGTTTATTTCGTCACATTTCATACTTTAAGAGCTGCTGCTTTAAGAAAATTTCACGAGGAAACCAATGAAACCACTTTTAGAACTTTACAGTTTTGTATAAACTGAGTTATAAGCGTTTAAAGTTTCCAAATTTTGTCCGACCTCTCCCATTGACTCGATCCACTGTGCGGCGGCGGGCTGAATTGCGAGGATTAAAAATGACAGAGCGCCCTCAATTCTTCGTGTACACCGCAAAGATTTGGAACATCTTAGATCGTAGGAATGCATAGTTACCCTACAAATCGCATCTCAGCACACCGCTGAATCAAAACTGAAGCACAATCGATACTCACATTCTACGCATGCATGCATTCGTGCGTAGTGGATGTCTTTTTAGTGTAAACAGAGAATTGAAAGCGCTTTGACATTTTGGAGCCTCGAAGTACAACTCGCCGCCGTGCCGCGGGTGAAGCACTGAGTGATGAGTGCCTGGAGCGTAAAAACGCCTTCACTTTGGTGCCTATGCAACACGGACATCCGTGAAGCTCGAATAATTGCATCCAGGAGTTATAATGGAATTCGTTCGGTGTTTGTTGCATGCGACACTAACTGAGGATGCTCTGCCTGATCTCCTTACACCTCAACTTAATTCTGGCATCGCCCATGGAACATAAAAAGTAAATTATTACTGATTTTTATCGTAACATTGTCAATTTTCTGAAAAATGCTTTGACTGCCTAAATTTATTATAATGTTACTCTTTTCAACTGTGGATTGCATCCCTTGCGGATATAGCAACATTCAGATTAGACAGAGATAATTTAGGAAACTTTGATATGGTTGGTGTGCCGGGAAATCACATATATTAACGAATTCATATGTTGTGTCTGTAAATTTCAAGATAAGTTATGCCGAGTTTTATGAAAAACTATGGAAGTTCTTCAGAAGCATTTTATCGGAGAGAACTTGGCAGTGTTTGATTTTGCCACTTATGCGATGTTTCTTCCTAGAAAGGCGGTGCAGCATGGCAACGTCGTGAAGAAACGTGGTCCGGTCAAGAAGGATAAATGTGACTCGAGGAGCACGAGCTGTTTGGGCATGGCACTTTCCTCCAGAGATCTTGTAGTTACACGATTGCCGCAAGCCGCGCTAGTATACCGTCCGTGTTGACTTTGTGTGTAAGTCGCATGGAAACATGCAATCATGAATTCTGTCAAATGCCTACTCAGGTTGTCAGATTTTCAGAAGCAACACATCATCGCGTGCAAATCGACGGTGAGAGTCCCAAACCATGTATTTCGTTTGCGATGTTTTAAAATCGCCGATCCCAATTGATTTTTTTTCAGAACAAATCAACACCATTCCTTGAAATTTTAGAACAATACCCTTCGCTTAGCCTGCGAAAATGTGTACGAATGGAGAATTTGCACGCAATTTTTTTATTGCTTCATCTGAAAGTGCCTAATGAGCTGAGTTCGCAATATTTTTCATAATTTTTTTCTGACATGGGAAATTGGAGAAAAATTGATTTAAAAGTGAGAAAATGTGCCGCCTTGTGACGTCATCTGGCGGCATTTCCCATTTAAACACATGTATTTTAGCAGAATCGGTTATTTTGTTATATCTCCTCTAATAGTTGCTCAATTTATGAATCAAGGGTACCTTCGTGTTCAGTTCACTCAGAGGATTCCACTTAAACAGGAAATTCATCAAATTTCAGACCCTTGCAAATTCTCCATTGACGTTAAGTAGTTTTCCCCTGAAAAAATTAATGATGATAGGAAGTTAGCAACGTCGCAAACTGAGTTAAGTGGCGTGGGAGTCTCACCGACAATACCTATGCAAATAGCAAGCATATTTAATTTTTTTCAGCTCATATACTCTTGACGTGTCAAAATGGTAGTCTTTGAAAAATATCACATTTCATGGCCACTCTTTTTCTTTGACCACTTCCTTTTTCCATTTTTCCTTATTCCTTTCCCTCATCTCTTTCATTTTATCTCTTTCACTTTTTTTTCTTTTTTCCTCTCTTTTCGTCAAAATCTTAATTTATTTTCGTTCCATGAAATCCTAAAAAAAAAAATATGAACATGAAACGCTTGAGAAAAATGTTTACATAAGTGTTGCGTTATTATGGATATGGAAAACAACTAAAATAATCTCGCATACCTCCTAAATTGGAAGATAATCAAACTATCTCAATAAGAACGCATTGATGGCATTGTTAAAAATAGCTCGACTGAAAATTTTGTGTTCGCGGACTAAAATTTTTGTATTACCAATATTTTTATTTTTGTAATTAGAGTTAATATTTATTTTTGGTGTGAAACGCGTTTCCTATGTAAAATCTTGGGGATTTCTTTGCTTTGCGATCTCACCACAGAGATAAGGCTAGTTAAATCGAGCGAAGCATTCGGTTAATTGTCGAATTGTCATCGAATAATCTCAATCGATTTACCATATTAATGTTATTAATCCATCAAGGTCGTTTGATAACTATTCACTGCCGTGCTAAAGAGGAACGCCGTATGAGCCTTCAAACATTGCCAAATTTCCTTCGAAAAATCATGAACTTTTAAGGAATTTGAAACATTTTTCTCTCGAAATATCTGAGAATTTTGTTCGTAATTTGATTCAAAGTATTGAAAAATGTTGGGGTAAAATACTCCTATCATTCTTCAAACATAAACATTTTTTGACAGAAAATTTGAAAAAAATTTGAATACTCATATACAGTGTTTAGCCTATGCATGGCGATAAAAAGCCTCGTCAAGAGAAGACATGCCGTATAATAAATGAGTCTGCGCAAGCGTATCGACGGTGAAACTACCAAACCACGTATCTCGGTTTGCGACGTCGCAAACTTCCTGTCATACTTTATTTTTTAAATGAAAAACTACTTAACGTCCGGTCTTGAAAATTTCTGTGATTTTTCCTCTTCGTGCGGAGAAAATTCTGTGAAAATTTCAAGGAATGATATTGATTTGGTCTACTTCAAAAAAATTAAAATGTGAGCGTAGATTTTTAAACACCGCAAACGAGATACGTGGTTTGGTAGTTTCACCGTCGGTATGTGGATATTAGTGTAATACAGTCTGCCAGCACATAAAACGCCTGCAATTTCGTGAGAAGCAACGAGCGATACAGCTGCCATTCACACGGCTCCGATTGAGCTCTTTTGAGAAAATCATTTGGGAAGTATGAAAAGGGGAAACATATACATACGTTGCATCTTCATTCTCAGTGCCCCTCCGGAATTTGGATGAAAAATAAGCTATAGAAATTATTGTGCCAATTACGGAGTTTAATATCCTTTCAAATCATGTATTTCAGGGCTAACGTTGTGGCTGTTCGCTCACTCGTAATTGCGTGAGTTTTGTGCTAAAGTGCACGAGCGAAATTTGGATCCAATTTGGATTTGCTTAAATTGAGCCCAGTAACTGTTCAGAGTTAGTGTTACCACAGCATATGATTTTTAGTAAATATCAAGTAGCCATTGTACCGATAACTCAACCTAAATATTTTAGACACGAGGGTCCCTTTTCCCAAGGCCGGTAATACACTCACCAGTGGCGTGGCGTGCTTTGCGATAAATCGATTGATCTGCCGTTAAACCTATGGAATAAGATCGATGAAGAAGGTGTTCGCAGCGAACACTTCAATAATCGATTTTTTACCATAGCTTCAAATGAGGGAATATAGACATAATCGATCATTCACGCCTTGCAATTGACTCACATAGCTTTCAAAAAAATCTCAGCCTGTTTGGTTTGTGTTGGTCGTCTAGGTTTGAGACGACTAAAAATGTTTCGTGGTACAAAATTAATAAGCCAAAGAAATGGTAACTAACGAAATAGTTCTTTATTATCTGTCCTCGTTTTTAAAAATGACAATTTCAAATATTTACACGCATCACGTTTCAAAGAAATGATTTTGAAGAGAATAAAACCTTAATATCAAAGTGTTGCATTGAAATATTATTATACACCTACAGATTTTGCTAAATCGTCTTGAATTTCGTCGAATTTGGCGATTTTTCGATGAGAGACAAATGCTCCAATCCACTTAGATACGTTGCTTTATTTAGTAAAAAAGCGACAAAGGACGCTTTTCTTGTCGGATTGCAACTAAAAATCAATTACTATCACTTAAAACAAAATGTTCCACAAAAGCAGGTTACTGTTAAAATGAGGCTGGTTAGGTAATTCGTTATGAACATCAGTATTTACAAAGCGTCCTAGATACACAAAATAATCAACGGAACATAGTAAAACACGCCCAATTCCCTAGAAACTAAATCATTTGCGACTATCAGCTGGTTCATCTTTATGAGAGTTTTTGCTTTTCAGGGATGTGAAATTCTCAGTCTTATTCTAAAACTTAATTTAGTGCATGTTTCTCACGCATACTTTGTTTACTTGGCACGAGAACAGTTTTGAAGACCGCAAACCCAAGAGAACTAAGAGCATAGCTACCTCATTTATTTCCCATCGATAGTGTAAGCACACTTATTTCTTGCGTCCCAGAATTTCACAGCCTGTCGGCCTTTCGGTTCGTAAAGGTAACATGACGTCATTTCCAAAAATAAAAATAATTACTGAAAGACTCAAAATAGGTTCCATTAACAGAGCAATGGGCTTCTTAACTAATCTAGACGTCGTTCCGCGCACGGCGAAAATTCTGGAAGACGTTATCAATCACCGTTGCCCACTGAAAGACCTCAGGAATGAAAAAATACGAAAACCTTTTTCTTGAATGGCGCCAAAAATACCTTACTTAGTAATAAGAGTAAAAGAAAAAAGATCGAAGGAAATAGCACACGAGTGAAATGGGAAAGTGCGACATAAAAAAGGGGTTAAAATCGAAAGACCTATTTCCCAGGAGTACATTCTGAATTCTCTGATCGTGAGGAATAATTATTAGGTACGCTTAAATTTTTTATTCTTCCAGAATTCATTCAATAGAGAATGCGGTTTAATTTATCACACCTGCCCAAAAATTGTCCCATTTAGGAATCATGTTAAAAATACTTTTTGATTAGAAAAGATGTTTCTTTTATCCGATTATGTTCGCAGTTTTAGATCTAAGTTTGGAGCGCCCCGCGGGAACGGATGGAAGCGGATCTTCACTCAGAAGTTCGGAGGGAGGTCTTGCCGAGTGGGTGGGAGGTTAGGCGTCCAGTTAGGAATTCCCGATCGGTACTGTTTCAAAGTATTCGATTAGTGGAGCGTGCACTCGCAAGTTCCACGACGAACTCGTCTCTTGCGCTCCTCTGGTTTCAGCAATCTGTCCGTGCTGCGGACAGACCGTGGCTGCACGTCTGAAAAACGAAAAACAAAAAAATAGTCAAAATTGAGGATAAAAATGCATACATAAAGCCGCATTTATAGCGCAGCCTCGCGCTCTGCGACGCCCAATCGCCATTGCCCCCTATCTCCCACAGATCATCAGGCAATTGCCACCTTCTGATCTCCTCCTCCACCCCTTGTCGCCAACCTTTCACAGGACGTCCACGCCGTCTCCTTCCGGGTGGAACCCAATCGAAAACTTGCTTGGGCAACAGATCGTCTGCCATCCTTCACACATGTCCATACCAGACCAACTGCTTGGACCTGATATCGTGCACGATGTCATTCTCCACACCCATTATCTCGCGTACTTTTACATTGCGGATGCGCTCTCTTCTTGATGGGATAGCGTGGGATATCCCCTCCATTTTGGCCTCAACTTGGGAGCTTTTTTTGAGCTTGGGAGTTGATTTCAGAGAAACCCAGTGGCACCATCGTGTTTCTCGCGAACTTTTACATAAGAATCGATAGTGAAATCGCAAATTCCTCACACATGCAACATCTCCATTGTCCATTAGTAAGTGTTGAATCCCCGTAGTAAAAATTTCCACCTATCGCCAAGAGGCTAGCGGAGGGTCTCTCTGTGTCTTCTATAGCAATTTTTCGATTAAAAAGAACCTATTGGGATACTCTGGTTGGACTTACTGTACGGTCGGGGTTGTTTCGATTAAAAAGAACCTATACATCGTATTCGATACATCAAACGGGTGAGATTGTATCGATATCGATTGGTTCAAAACATAAACATAGCCTCAAAAATAAATTCAGAAATCTGAGATAACGGGTCTTTTGTAACAGATTTTTTATTCTTTTGAGTATCAAATGCCAACACAAAGTGACATGTCAGGAACTTTCTCATTTTCAGCTTTTCCAACTTAAATCCTTACAGTTTGGTTTAAGGTTATGTTCTATTGTTTTGAACCAAACGATACATCGAACTGTTATCGAATACGGTCTATTGGGATACTCTGGTTGGACTTACAGTGGGGTCGGGGTTGCTCGTCCTGCTCGGGGACGTTGTCGTCCTGGATCATGCTGGGCGAGACGACGTTGACGGGCATGCGCTGGAAGGGGAGGGGTGGCGGACGGACCATCTCCGCGGGGACGGCCGGGAGGTTCAGCGAGCGGTCCTCAGGGATCTCCGCGAGGAGGGCGCGGGCCTCCGGGACGAGCCGGGCTTCGGCCATGACTGCCTGCATCGGTCCACGCTCGCGCTCTTGCTCCCGCTCCTCAGAGCTCTGCTGCGTCCGCGACTCCACCGACATCTGACCTCCTACCGGGCCCGATTGGGATCCACGGCTCTCCTGGAAAAAAAAAATGAAATAAAATAAAATAAAATATATAAATATATATAAAGTCGCCCCTACCACGAACTCTGGCGTCCTGCGACCCCCAAACGCCACATATCGACGGTGAAAGTCGGCAATCACATAACTCGGTTTGCGACGTCGCAGACTTCCTGTCATACTTTATTTTTTAAATGGAAAACTACTCAACGGCAATTCTTTAAAACTGTCATGATTTTTCTTCTCAATGCGAAGAAAATTCTGCAAAAACTTCAAGAAATAATATCAATTTGTTCTCCTTTAAAAAAATGACGAAGAGGCGGAGATTTTCAGACATCGCAAACGAGTTATGTGATTGCCGTTGCACCGTCGATATGCCTGTCATCCCAGAGGTTATCGAGCAACTGACACCGCAACATCTCTTCGTCAACGCCTTGCCGCCAACCCTTTACGGGACGTCCAGTTGGGGTAAATAAACTTAATCCTTTATAATGCCAGTTACCGAAGAGTAGAAAGAAAACAAGGAAACAGCGGAAACAAGGCTGAAATACATAAAAATATCAGAGAGGTTGCGATGTCTCACGACATCATTATCAACCGCTAAAAAGTACAAAAATAAAAAAGAAATTAAAATCGAAAGAAACCAGCAAGGCGTTACTTGGTGATGGTAATGGTTACCGAAGAGAGCATTGCTGCTGTGCTAAGGAAGAACGCCGTATGAGCCTTCAGACGTTGCCATTTTTCCTTCAATAAAACACGAATTTGCTGAGGAAATTGTGCATTTTTTCTTTAAATTTTTCAGACAACTTTGTTCGCAACTCAATTTAAAATGTAATATGCTTAACTTTTTGCAAAAAAAAAAAAAAAAAAAAAAAAAAAAAAAAAACAACAACAAAAAACATGGGGTCAGACCCAACATCATAGTTTGAAAGTTTTATAGAATATTCCCTGCATCGATAAGAAAAATCCCCGAAGATTTCAAAAAATGACGTTTAATGATTTTGCGCGTAAGAATAATTTATGATGGAAAATCTGCAACGCCGCACACCGAGATATGTGCTTTTGCAAATCCGACATCGATTTCTCCTTTTGCCATAACTGAGAATCCGTGAATCCATGCTCAGTTTTCAAGCCTGCGTCGAGCAATACACATCTCAGTGTCACATTATCTAGTCCCTGGTTTGTGTTACCCGTTTGTGTGTCTCAACAGTTGAAAGACCCTGTTTTTTTTATGGTCCTTGGACCTCGGAGGGGATGCTCGGGAACGTTTTTAATTTATGACGAAATTTCGCCGAATTCATGAAAGTTCACATTTTCTGCTTAAGGAAACCTGTGTCAATTCTCTCCCATCTTTCTGTCAAACAAGTGGAAAATGTGCTTATAGGTACCGCACGGTTTCGGACAGAGAAATTGATGGAGTACCTGGAAGATGGGGATGACTTGTTCCTCACGAGCGATGATAGTGATCGGCTGGTCGTCACCCTCACCGGACTGGCGCTGGCTGGAGCTGTCATCTTGCTGGAGCTTGGTGAAGATGGAGATGGGGATCTGGTTCACATGGGGGGCGTGAGAGTGGTGAGGGGGTTGGTGAGGCTGTGGGTGTGGGTGGGGGTGAGGACCCATCATGGGGCCGGGGCCCATCATGTGTGGGTGGTAGTGGCCGTGAGGACCCATCTGGTTCATTGGCACGTGGGGGCCCATCATCGGCTGGCTCGGGCCCATCATGGGTCCCATGTGGGGGCCCATCATTGGCACGTTGGGGCCGACCCATGGACCGTGCTGCGGGGCGGCGTGACCTCCCATTGGCATGTTCATCGGGATTGGGTGACCCATTGGGACGGGGACCATGATCGGTTGGGCCACTGACTCCATTGGGGTGTGTCTGTGAACACGGAAAACATAATTTAAAAGTTTGACTCTGTCAATAAGTATGAATACAGAAAACATAATACCAAAATTATGGCCTTAATCCTGCAGAAAATGAGATGTAAAAATAGTGCTGGGTCCATTTTGTTTTGAGGGATAAACAAAGCCGCATGTCCTTATTGAACTTGCCGGGGCCTGAAAACGAAACAAGTAAAAATTGAAAATGGGACGATGTGCTAGGATGCGGTTTTACGGTTGTATGACCGCGTGAAGTACTTGTACTGCGCGTTGACTCGGATGTAAAACGATTTAAATGTAAGAAATGTCAGTCCTCGCTCCGCACAGACTTATCTAAATTTATGATGACACAACTAACCATCGGACCGTTCATGCGTTTGAAATTGAGGTCTCTCTTGCTTACCGTGTTTGAATCGATTTCTAATAGTGAGGCGTAAGTCAATTTTTTATTTTAATTTTTGACCCTTAGAAGAGTTATTACACATTTTCTGAGTGTTGTTGTTTTTCGTTATGTCTCTTCATAAGTTTCGAGCAAAAGGAGCGAGACCTCTAAATTTTTGTTACTATACGAAGACTATTCCTCCATACTCTACATACATAACGAAACGGAATGATGAAACTTTCAAAACTGACTTCAAACCTTCTCTTTTCACCAAAAAATGTCTCAGTTTTCCTACATTTCTAGTAAAACGGCGAAGAAAGTTTTTTTAGCCAACATTCCTGTAAACATTTAGTTTTCTTGACTTCCCTTTTCTACCAGAAACGGATTCATTCGTTTCACAACAGTAGCGAATGATTTTCCAAAGCAGATGAATCCTAGGCACCTCTTTTGGAATATCCAACTCTCGCTGAAAATTAAGCCTCGAACAGAAGTACCTCACGCCTTAGTCCATTGTTTGGCCGTATATAGAAGGCTACGCTCGTCTTTGTTCTACACCGCAATGGTATAATTATACGCTGATTCCGTATACAGATGCGCGAACCAAGGTAAACGCCGACTTTTAAGACAAGATGAGACTGCTCGTCCGTGCCGCTAACACATAATTGTGCCATTCCAATCCGTATCACGGCTTACGGAAAACGCACGGACGCACGAACCAATCGTGTCTCGATGCATTTGTTGAAATCAGGTGCTTTGCTTGCCTTGATCTTTGTCCGAATTATAAAAAGTTTCAACTTCTAGACGAGAGGAAAAGAGTTTTTTTTTTTTCCAGATTATTCATACTCCCGCATCCTCAATCTCATTATCAGTTGAATCCATACTTTCGAAAGGTGGTCATCTCCAAAATTTTGACGTATTAAGTTTTTTACGGGAGTCCTCTCCTTGCAGAGTGACGAATCATCCTCAAGACTTTTACCACTAGTTTTGGACCATTCTTTTCTGGAGGATTCCATTTGGGGATAATTTCGAAAAGGGGCCATCTGTCCGTAAAAATGGGCCCCTTTCGAAATTGATGTGTGGCATTAATGTTCGACCGAAAATTTCGCTCTCTTTACCTACAAGCTCTTGGGTTCATTTGATTGGTCAAAGTGACTTATATTCCATTAAGTGATTTACATTCCCCTAAATAACCCAATAACCCTTTCTTTATGAAATGTACTGTCTCTGTACGTATGGGATTTTCTTCTAGCATTTCCAAAGACTCAAACGACTGAACCCAGCGCGAAACGATGACCAAGTTTGATCTCGTTAGGCATCTCGGAAGCTCGGTCGCAGTGCGCATTGCTTCATAACGAAAAATGATTTCTAAAACCAATGTGGCAGCTATGACGTCACAAGACAAAAAACGAGAGTGATTGCGGCGCATTACGGACCGCGCACACGGTACGTGCCTCGGTGCATCGAGCGATTTTAACGAAGATTTCGATCAACTTACAGTTGTCGCTGACCGCAACGTTTCCCGCATGCGGTGCCTGCCGACTGTAAAAAAATCGTCATTTTTATCTGCAACAGCTAATATTCTGAGGGAACTCGTGATCCGACAAATTGAATCCGGCATCATCACCCAGGTACAGTGTAGTCGGAAAATGAGGGGAAAAAAGTACTTCATAAAAACTCTCCAGGACTCAGCAAAGTTTTTGCACGTAGTACGGTAAAATTACGACACTAATACTAAAATGAGGTTATCTTTAAGGGCCAGCATTGCTCCTACCATGGATTTCTTTAATTCTACAATTTTTTAACAGAGCAACATAGCGTCCATATTAAACAAAAATATTTGACTTTTGTCGGCCATCGACTCCCTTTCAGTGAGGTACATCGGCGTATTTATGGATCTGAAAGTCAGATACGGTCATTTTCCATGGATTTGTCGAGTTCATTGTCACCTTTTGACCGATGTGCAAACAAATAATCACCATCAGCATCCTGGTCGAAAACCGACTTAAAACTTCGAGAAACCAAGAGAAATAACCGTCCATGGCATTCAAACTCCATGTTTGCGGAATTACAATTAACTGAAGGGATTTGGCGATTCGCTAAAACCAACTATTTCGTTACACACAGACATTCTTCCGCTAAGAAGCGCTAGAGTTACAAAAAGCGCGGATGGGGTAGATTTATCCTCTCACAGCACATACCCTTCGATCAAAAATGTCGACGAATGGTATCAGTCGCAGAGTTTGGTACCCTTCATAAAGCCCCTGAAGGATTGTGAGCGAGGATCTAATGCTGCGCAGCCGTTAAGGGGTTGCGGGTCTACTATTTTGAAGGCGATTCTTGCGATGATCAAGCGTGATCTTACATAAACTTGCTATAAAAAAGGAAATACTATTTTACGCTAAACGAGAGCACTGCATAGTCACCGATAGGAGATAAAAGATTGTAATCTTTCCGAAACTATCACATGTAAAATTTAGGTTGTTAAATACCTGTGGGTAGGACTCAAATCTTGTTAGTATACGGTCGACCGTAAGCTGGAAAACCTACCCTCTAAATTCGACCTTAAGTTGCAATGCTTATATTCTAAACTCAAGCTGCACCTACGCAAGTTGAGCTTTTTTTACAGCAAGATCGAGCTCTCCTTAGTTTCCCATTAATATAAACCATTTATCAGCGACCGAATAACAAAGTTAACATTTTAGCCTCAACTTACGGCCCACCCTAACTTTGCCAAAAAAATTCGGGCCCAGACTGACAACTCTGTCCCGGTGCAATGAAGCATGGACCTACGATGTTTCGGTCCATTCGATGATGTGGAGCTGAACCGCAAGCCAGGTTGCCAAGTTATGCGATGGAATGTGAGTATTTTACCATGAGGTTAAATGGGGGAAATTGCTGATCTTTCAGCATTATCTGGCAACAATGGCTGTCAGCCAGGTTGTCAATCGTCGCAAAACAGCAATTAATTCAAGCACTTTGGTCCGGGAAAATATGTCTGGGACTCCAGTTATGAATCGGAAACACCGATTGCATAAAGAGACACAAACTGCGTTATTTGACCGCTATCTCCTCCTCAAATTGGAGCCGAGCTTTGTGAAATGCTGCCCCGTGCGGTTTCCAATTATAGCACCGATGGATAATTAAGTAATGGCAGCGCAAGAATGCTGACTTTCAAATGTTCCAGTTGCGATGTTCAAAGCATGTCGATAGTTTATTTTGGCATGAGTCTCCAATGCGAATGTATTGGAAGGTATGCGTTCAGTCTTGTGATGAGAAATTCTCTCATAGGAAAAGATTGATGGTTATCGATTCCTTGTAGAGTGGGCCCAGAAAGTAAAATATTTATCAAAAACGCCCGAATTAATATCTATAATTGCCCGAAAAAATAATCAGATTTCAAATTCAAAGGCAAGAATGCTCAGGAGAAGAAATAATCGTTACTCTAAAGATGGTCCTAGTGGGTTGCAGGTCTTACCTACATACTATCCTGGTAGTAGTTACCATGTTGATTTTGTGGTAACAAATAGTTTGATCCTGGTTACAATAGTTCAGTTCCGATATCAATGCTATCTACTGGGGCCGGAAAACTTATTACCACCAAAGTAACATTGCAACATCGACAAGAAAATATGGTAGAACTTGCAGTTCATAATAAGTATTGTACAGTAGCGATTCCTGTTTCTCCGTGGGGGGAGAGGGGCGTGATTCTCCCTTGACCTTTTAAAACTGATGACTAAAGTGCGAAATCACGTGCTTCCATTGCGGCGGCTTCAAAATTTTCGATCCTATTTTATTTTTCCGATGAGAAACAAGCCAACTTTATAGCTTGAAATCAATACAGAATGTTCAGCTTATAGAGAAGAAAAAACAAGGAAGTCTTAGAAACATTACATTGAAAAGTTTTCGAAACAAAAAATAAAGTATGGCAGTAAGTCCGCAACGTCACAAACGAAGATACGTGGTTTTGCACTTCGGTCATTGATATTGCATCCTTCGATTCTAATTGTAAGACACGCGAAACTAATCTCACAGTCGGTTGCAGAATCCCTCCCCCCTACCAAAAAATTATTTGGACTAAATTTTACAATTTTTTAACTACAATTTCTGGCTCATCCGTAAAAAACAAATATGTGCTTAGGCAAACTGATTGTGCATACGTTGTTTCTAAACTGAGCCAGAAGGTGTAGTTCCTAATGGTAAAATGTAAAGTCCATTTGGACCGTGTTCATGAGAAAGGAACCAACCCCCATATTTAAGTTAAAACTGAGCAAAAGAGGTTTGAAGTTTTATTCCTGCATAAGGCTAAATGTAAAAAATCAACTTTAACCCTTCCTTTCACAGAAAATTTTTTGTTTTAAGACTTTCAGTTTCTGGCAGGAGAAAATACACGGCTAGTGAAACTCAAAAACATTCTTAACTCAATTTTTTCGAAAATGTGGATTGGTTCCATACGGATAAACTCGGTCCATTTAGTTCTATGTCAAAAAACTTTTCGATATACTTGCCATGAATTATACATCGTGTAGTCTATGAGTTGGACATAATCACTTATCACTGCAGTCGCCGCCGAGGGGCGGTAGGCGCCGATGCCCGTGTCGCTTGTGTCGTCTCTTGGC